AAAAAAAAAAAAAAAAAAAAAGAAATTGTAAAAAGAGAAGTATTTTGCGGTTTGTACTTTGTGCATTGGGTGGAGGTCTTATCCTACCATTAATTAATTATATCAACTGTCCCTTCTATTTTTTTGGAACAGTAACATTATCTGGATTGATAATTTGATATGATTGGCATCTGAAATCGTCATACAAGTTGTTTTCTTGGTTAAAAACAAAACAAATTTCTATTTAATCACCATAATTATGACAGAACTATAGCTAAACTCAGCCTACTAATATAAAAACATACAAATAGTTGAGGTATATGTTTTTGTAATTATATTTTAATTATAATCCAAGATAAAATGAAAACACACACACTATTTATTCGAGTTAAATACCACATCTTTCTTTATTTTAGTATTTTCCTATAACGATTTCCAACCAGTATTCTAATCAATAGTTGTAGGTAGTAGCGCAAACGAGCAGAATCAAAGTCAATGTTTTTTTTTATCCGTGCTCGAGCTCGATGAGCCAAGCTTTATTGCTCAATTCGACTCAGTAATATTATGCAAATGCTGGAGACTACTCGAATTTCATCAGCTCAAGATTCGCTCTAATTTGAGAAGCAAATTTGCTTGATTTTAGGCAAAATTTAACTTAAGTTAGGAATATTCGAGCAATTAAAGCTAAAAAAATACAAACTCGAGCTCTGGTCGAGTTTGAGGTGTTTGAGTGCGAGCTCGAGTAGCTTGACTTGAGTTCAATCGAATTCGTGCTCGATCAGATGAAAACTCGAGTGGTGAGACGCACGAGTCGTGATCTATTTATAATTAATATTCTTAATAATGAAGACAATTATTTATAATTTTGATTATTTTTCCAAAACACAGTGGGCCCTTTCTGCAAATAATGCATCAATTTATGGTGTCATCTATTTAGCCCAATCAGGACACACACTTTAAATAATCTCTATTTAATTATCTGTCTGATTGACTAATATAACTGAAGAACGTCACTGGCACTTTGACATAATGTGATTTTAGGATTTAGGCAAGTGTGAAAAAGAAGTTTGGCCAACCTTTAACAAATTCGGACCTAATTGTTAGACGGGTCGATCTATCGTATTATTTAAATATAAATGTATGTCTACATATCAAATGTCATACTTTTATTTGTATATTTATTTAAAAGTATGACATTTTGTAAGGTAAGTCTAAATATTTTGTGTTACAAGTATGTATATAACCCAAGAAAAATTGTATTCAGTTATTGTGAAAAATTATAACTACGTGTAATAATTGTGATATCATTTACGGTGTGCATGTATATAGATTTGATTGGAAAAAATTAATTTTTTTTACTTAATCATTTTATTTTATCTCAACTTTAACTCATTTTCACTGTCTTAAATGTATCAATATAATTAAATAATACAAATCAATTATTCTTACACATCACATCAATTTTAATCACTATTTATGCACTCTCATAATTTTAATTAACCGTCACATCACATCATATATCTCATACTTTTACATCTAGTATAATATTTTATTTTAATATAAATTCAAAATACCACTAGCAACTAATCATGTCATATTTTTGTAAAATTAACGATAGCTAATAAAAAATTAAATCAAAATCAAATCAAATTCATATCCACTCCCTTATAAGCTAGCACATGATGGAAATTGTCCAGCCTTTTGGGCTTTGACGTCTCTAATATTATGGACTTTCAGAAATTGTTTGGCCCGTGAAAATGTCGAAAAGGTCTCTTGATTTAAATGGGCCTGAAATGAAGAGCCTATTGGGCTGTATATTCGTTCTCATTTTATTTCACTTTTATGTACAGTTTAAACCTATTCCAAACACATCTAATCATATAGAATTTTTTTTTTGGTACAGGTACCTTCCAGTTTCTGGATCCACAGGAGAACCGACTAATCCGGAATCGAGCCAGGTAGGACCACAAGGAAGCATTTAATGAATAGATAAACAAAAAGTCTCAACTCTCACGCCTCACCAAAAATTATTATTATTTTATTAGGGAAAAAATTCTCCTTCCAAACATACAAAATCAACCAAACAACCCCTTAATATCCTTAATTAGACTATTAATCAAACAAAGCTTATCTTCCAAAATCAACTTAGCCTCTGCTAACTTCACCCGCGCGTGTTCTTCGCCCCAAGCCTCCAAGACCCTTAGCTTGTGCTTCTCATTCTCGACCTCCTCCCGAATTCTTGCAATTTGACCCCTCAACTCCCCAACTTCATCTTTTTTCACCCGAATCTTTTTGTTCATTTTGATACGGGCATTTTCAAGTGATTCTCGTATCGCCTTCTCTCTGGCACGTTCGTGCACGAATTTGTTGCCCATTGACTTGGCCCGATCAATGTCGGCTCGTAATTTGGAATTTGTGGCGAGGGCCTTTTTGTAAATTTGTCTTTCTGTCTTGACGTCATCAGTCAAATGTTTGACTTCAGTCAACATTTTGTGGTCAACCTTTGACTTTGGCTCTTCCCTTAGGGTTCGAT